TGTCCCGGTTGCCCCTCTTCCAGGCCAGCCCTCTGCTGTGGCCAGGGAGTGCAGTGGAGGATGGCCCAGGTGCTTGGGCCCTGCACCCCATGGGAGACCAGGAAAAGCACCTGGCTCCTGGCTCCTGCCATCGGATCAGCGCGGTGCGCCGGCCGCAGCGCGCCGGCCGCGGCGGCCATTGGAGGGTGAACCAACGGCAAAGGAAGACCTTTCTCTCTGTCTCTCTCTCTCACTGTCCACTCTGCCTGTCAAAAAAAAATAAATAAATAAATAAAAATTAAAAAAAAAAAAAAAGTCACAGCTGGAAGCCAGTGCTGTAGCATAGCAGGTAAAGCCACCAACTGCAGTGCCGGCATCCCATATAGACGCCAGTTAGAGTCTAAGCTGTTCCACTTCTGATCCAGCTCTCTGCTATGGCCTGAGAAAGCAGTAGAAGATGACCCAAGTCCTTGGGTCCCTGCATCCACGTGGGAGACCCGGAAGAAGCTCCTGGCTCCAGACTTCAGATCAGCGCAGTTCTGGCCTTAGCAGCCATCTGGGGAGTGAGCCAGTGGATAGAAGACCCCCCCAACGCCGCCTCTGTGTAACTGCCTTTCAAATAAATAAATAAATCTTTAAAAAACAAGTCACACCTCTACTGACTAGAGTCATTCACAACATTGAAAATAATGAACCAAAGTTAAAATAAAAAAGAATCTTAGACATAAAATAGAAGAGTACAAACAGTATGCTAACTTTTATAAAAATTTTTAAAGGTAAAATTATATAATGCATAATTTAAGAATAGATTTTAAGTTTTTTCTAAAGAAGAGAATTACAAACACAAAATTCAACATAGCAATTACCTTTGGGTGAGGAGGAGTGGGGTGGATGGGAAGAAACACACAGCAAATTCTGAAATTTAGTAGTACAGACATAGCATATATATTGCATAGTATATATACCACATAAATTATTTTTGCATATAAAATTCTTCATATTAGAAGTTATATTTAAATAAAAATATGAAGTGATTTTGACCTGCACTAGTGTGTTAACGTTAAGAATAAGGGGGGAAAGAATGAATAGGATAATAGCACTATAAACAAAGAAAAAGTCATTGAGCGTTTAACTCTACTATCTTTGAATTATAGCATTAACTATTCTTAGCATCAACATGCCCCCTCACACACATATCACACTTACCATTTCTAGCTTAGATATTTATGACTTAAAAATTTGCCTGAGAGCATACAGCGAATAATTACCATAAATATTCAAACCCAGATCTATCCTATCTTCAAAGTTATTTCAGGTACCAGTGTTGTGGTATAGTAGGTTAAACCTCCACCTACGAAAACAGCATCCTATTTGGGGACCAGTTTGTGTCCCTGCTGCTCCATTTTTGATACAGCTCTCTGCTATGGCCTGGGAAAGCAGCGGAAGATGGCCAAAGTGCTTGGCCCCTGCACCCACATGGGAGACCCAGAAGAAGCTCCTGGCTCTTGACTTCAGATTGGCCCGGCTCTGGCCATGGTGGTCATTTGGGGAGTGAACCAGCAGATGGAAGACCTTTCTGTCTCCCTCTCTCTATCTCTGTAACTCTGCCTCTCAAGTAAATATAGATCTTTTTAAAAAAAGTTATTACTTACACAAGTGGATTGGTAACGGGTTATAAATGTTTCATCACAAAGCAATCAAAGCTCAAAAACTGAGATATTACCTAATTTAACTCTTTAATTTTGCAGACAAGAAATTCAAAGACTTAGGCTATTGGCGCTAAATACCCTCTGAAGGCCACAGATCCTGAATGTTTTTGTCTCAAGACCCTTTACACTCTTAAAAGAGTACTAATGGGGGAAGATATGCAGAGCACCTGTAAAGATGCCACTTGGGATGCTCCCATCTCATAGTCCAAGTGCCTTAGGTTGGTGTCCTGGCGTGGCTTCCAACTCCTGCTAATGCAGTCCCTGTGAAACAGCAGGTGATGACTCAAGTAGTTGAGTCCCTGCTACCCATGTGGGAGACCCAGACTGACTTCCCTACTAGTGGCTTTGGCCCAGTCCTGACTGTTGTTAGGCATTTCAGGAGTAAACCAGCAAAATGGAGCGCGCACGCACGCACACTCTCTCTCTCTCTCTCTCTCTTTTCTCTATGCTTCTCAAATAAGTAAAAATAATAGATCCATGATATATTAATACAAACACTTTTTGAAATATAACTATTTTCAAAACTAACAATGAGAAGAGTGTTATTATTTCACATTTTTGCAAATCTCTTTAAAATTTAGCTTCATAGAATATAGTTGCATTCTCACATCTGCTTTTATATTCAGTGTGCTGCCTGAAATTGTCTGAATGAAGTGTAAGAAAAATTTCATCCTCATGGAAACACGCAGCTAGAAAAAAGGAAGACCTCACAAACTGTCCGCAAAGCCTTGAGCCCCAAGGTTTTGCAGGTTACACTTCAGCAACTATTGCAACGTTGGTAAAATTCCTCCAGCCACCATCCCCAAGGACTTGAAGAAACTCAGGTGAATTGGCACATTCTTTAGAAAACATGAACAGTCTGTTTTATATTTGGCACTCCCCTAAGCTAGAATGTCCCCCAGATAGCTCCTAAATCTAATCCAAATATATATGAGGGCTAAATTTGATCCTATTTTTCTCATAATCTTTTGTAAAGGGAAAAATGGTGCTAGCAGAAAATCAGTCCAGACCACTACAGTGGACCAGTAGCAGGGCACTACAATGGACATTGGAACAACTGGGCATCAATGGAGCAAAAACAAACTACACAAAGAAGAGCAGATAGTTCCTGTTAAAGGGGCAAGCAGTAAATACTTTAGGCTTCAGAAACACTGTAGTCTATGGCAGACATCCAATTTTATCCTTGTTGTCTGAAACAGCCACCTACAATATAAAAATGAATGGAAGTGGCTTTGCTCCAATAGCATTTTATTTAAAGAAATGCATCAGATTTGTTCCTCAGGACATGATTGGCTGAACTCTAAAGCAAAGTCATTTTATAAAATCACATATTTTCTTATTTAACACTGGATTGTACTCAAACATCTGCACAGTGGTACTTCCAACCTAAGATACCCCTGTAATCCTTATACCCACCTCTCACTTAGGAAAAAGAAAAGAGGAATAATTCTTAGAGACTTTCAAATAACTAAAAGTTATTCAAACCCCTTAGAAAAAGATTAGGATACAGCAAAATAGTATTTCAGAATGCCAAAATAGGCCAGAATAAAAAGAACTTTCATAGTCAATGAAATAAAACATTCAAAGATACACCAAATTTACCATATCTGTTCTTTATTCTTCTAGTTAATTTCTAATTATATAAGTAGTTATATAATTATATACATCCCTTCTAAGGAAATCTCTCTTTTAAAAGACTCAAAAAACACAGACTATAAATGAAACTAATAACTTTGACTAGATTAATTATTTAGAATATAAAATTTCATCTGAAGGCTCAAATATAAACCTCCGAAAATAGATAACCCACAAATTGGCAAAAGATATTCATAAATAAAACATCTAGCAAAATGATTGAGAGAAAGAATATTTAAATAATCCCCACAAAACAACAAGAAAATGCAGATTTTTGTGATATAGCATTTAAAATTCATCAAACTGGCAAATTTTTAAAACTCTAGACAAACCAAATGATAAGATGATGTGAAGCAAGAACTTACACCTACTGACAAAAGAATGTAAATTGACACACTACTTTGGAAAGGAATTTGCATTCTCAACATTTTTACTTTACAAGTCAACAAGTATACTTCTAAGAATATATAAAGAGAAACTCCTGAATATGTACAAGATGCTTAACTATTGGTAAGTTAAAAATCACACTATGGAATATAACACAACCGAGAAAAGGAATACAACTATATGGATGAATGTGAATGAATCTCAAAGGATGAGGAAAATCAGCAATTGAGGGCTGGCGCTGTGGTGCAGCAATTAAAGCCTAAAGCTGCCGTAAGTAATGCTGGCATCCCATATGGACGCTGGTTTGAGTCCCAGCTGCTCCACTTCCTATGTAGTTCTCTGTTAATATGCCTGGGAGAGCAGCAGAGGATGGCCTAAGTGCTTGGGCCCCTGCACCCACATGAGAGACCTGGAAGAAGCTCGTGGCTCCTGGCTTTGACCTAGCCCAGCCCTGGCCATTGAGACCATTGCAGCCATTTCAGGAGTAAACCAGTGGATGGAGGATCTCTCTCTCTCTCTCTGTAACTCTGCCTTTCAAATAAATCTTAAAAAAAAAAAAAAAAAACAGCAATTTACAGAAAAATGAATTTAGTATGATTGCACTGACCTGAAGTTTAAATATGATAAGGAAGTCTTTATTGTGTAAAATTACCTATACAAGGAGTAAAATACAGAGAAGACATAGAAATGATACCACCAAATTGGGGTTAGTGAGGTGAAGAAGAGAAGACAAAGCATTGGGGGAAGAAAACTCAATTTTTGTGCCTGAAATATATATTATAATAAATTTTAAGCAAAAGCTAAAAAAAACTTTAAGTTAAAATTAAAAACAATAAAGTATTTTTTAAAAAAAGACTAGTACAATCTCCTAAACCAATTTTTTAACTATCTGAAACATGAGCAAAGGGCTTTGCTTTCTAGTCCACCCTATTACTAGGATAACCTCTCATCTTTGAATAGAGTGCGCCACCTTGTGTTCGAAAGTTTCCAAATGATAAATTCTGAGACGATGGCTTACATGAAAATATAAACTCTTACATGCTATGACATGAAACATGTCTTCATTAAACCAAGCACATAGAAAACAGACATTTGGAAAAGTTGTTTTGATTTTGAAGAAGTTGTAAATACTTTATGTTTCTTTTCATTGGTTTCATTTTTTTAGTTTTCATTGTGCTTACAAAAAATAATTTTTTGCTTTGGTTTTAAGTATATAAACTGTTTTCAGTGAGTGAAATTCAAAATAATATATATCTTAAATGCTAAATACATGTTCATAAAGACACTTACCTTTGAATGTGTGATTGATAAGGTGTCTACCCATACACGCCAGCCACCCCACTCATATTTTACTGCGTGGTAAAGTAGGATTCTGAATATAGCATATACCATTTCTGTTATCTTTTGCTCTTCTGAATTCTTAGGATTAAAATAGCAGAGAGAAAGCATCCATTCTTGCCACACAGAACACTGTAGCAAGCTCCTGAAAATTATAAGAGTGTACTGAATTACAGAAAAAAAATCACCAGAAAGAATTCTAAAAAGTAAAGGAATATTCTTAAACAAAAAAGAAGTAGGCAAGTAAAGGTTTAAAATGAAATAATAACCACCCCCCAAGAAAGACATTTAAAAATAAACAACATAGTTCTGGAAACTATAATTTAACTGTATGATGCATCATTTACATGCCCTTAATGAAAAAATATGGAAAAATCATGTCACAGTGTCTTTTAAGCAGTTTTTCAAAGACAACATGGTTTTACACGAAAGTATTCTTGAATGGAGCAGATAAATGCTTTCTGACCCAGCTTACCTCCTGTTTTCTCTACTGTTATTAAAAAGTTTAATCATGTCAGAAAGAAAGGCTCTGCGAACCTCCATGCTTTCTGGGCACTGGGGAGAATTTCGAAGCAAGGTCGCAATTACTTTCAGTATCTCTGTAAGACAGTTCATAAATAAGTAAAAACCAAAACATAACAAAATATTTATGATCGAAAGTCATGAGTATATTGCAATCTTTAGTGTCCCTTACATAAATGTCTACTGCAAAAACCTCCTCTGTACTATTTTTAAAAATCTATGGAAGGGATGGTGATACATGCATTAGTAATAATCTATAAACAAAAAAAAAAGATTTTATTTCGTAAGTGAATGCACAAAGTAAGTTGAACTGCAAAGGCTGAAATGAGTTAAACTATAAATGAATTAAATGATAACAAAACTCCTCACATTTCTCTTTTATATCTCTCAAATCCTAAAGCTGACTTTTAAAAAACAAACAAAAAACCACTATAATAAAAATCTCAGGAACAATACATTCTCAGTCTCTACAACATAATTTATGGTAAACACATAGTCTTTCCTTAATTACAGTGGATTTGAAAAGCTGTGAAAATTTTCTTCCACTATTTAAAAAGTAAAATTAAAAAGCCTAAAGGAAATTAAACCTATCCAACATTCCCTTCTCTCTCACAAATGAAAACAAAACCGCTACTTCAATGGATTTAGTATAAACTTGTGAAAATCACCAGAACTTAAAGATGAAAAAAAAACTTTAAAAATATGTACTTAATCCAGAATTTTACAGGTAAGAAGCAAAAGCCAGCTATAACTCTGACTTTGAAATTAAGTAATATCAAAATTTTACTCAATTAAAAATTTAGGAATTGGCCCGCACCACGGCTCACTAGGCTAATCCTCCGCCTGCGGCGCCGGCACACCAGGTTCTAGTCCCAGTTGGGGTGCCGGATTCTGTCCCGGTTGCCCCTCTTCCAGGCCAGCTCTCTGCTGTGGCTCAGGTGCAGTAGAGGATGGCCCAAGTGCTTGGGCCCTGCACCTGCATGGGAAACCAGGAGGAAGCACCTGGCTCCTGGCTTCAGATTGGCACAGCACGCCGGCCATAGCGGCCATTTGGGGGTTGAACCAACAGAAAAGGAAGACCTTTCTCTCTGTTTCTCTCTCTCACTGTCTAACTGTGACTGTCAAAAAAAAAAATTTAGGAATTGTAAAGCAGCCAAGGATTCTGGTGATTCTGAAGCACCAATTTCAAAATAGTAATTTCAAAATAATAAATATGAAAATATTTTGTCCAACAATTTATGATATTTTGGAAGCATTTTCTGAATTCTTATAATAACAAATTTAAAAGTTCTCTACCTAGGTGATGATTACAATGATGATAATAATAATGAGATTATTTCCACCAATTCTGAAGATTTACTATCTTGAGACACTGATTAAGAAAATATAATTATTAATTATTTAATCTTTATACAATGATAAGCAGATACGACCATCATCCTCACTTGAATGACAAGAAAACAAAGGCACAAAAATTAAGTATTAGGGGTCGGCATTGTGGCACAACAGGTTAGGCCATCACCTGTAACACCAGCATCCCATATGGGTCCTGTTTTGAGTCTCAGCTTCTTGACTTCCAGTCTCCAATCCAGTTCCCTACTAATGCACTTGGGCCCCTGCCAGACTCCTGGCTTCAGCCTTGAGCTGTCCCAGGCCCAACAGCTGCAGCCATTTGGGAAGTGAGCCAGCAGATGAAAGATCTCTCTTGCTCACACGCTCTCTCACTCTCGCTCTCTCTCGCTCTCTCTCCAATTCTACTTTTCAAATAAATAAATAAATCTTTAAAAAAATTGAAAAAAATTAAGTACTATACTCAAAGTAACACAACTACTGAGACATATAACCATAATATGACCCAGGCAGTCTACATTTTTCACTACTATACTATGGTATCTTGTCTTTTCTGAGCCAATGCATTAGGTACCACATGAATAACTGCTATGATCTGAATGTGCTCCTTCCAAAAGTCAGGTGTTGCAAATGTGATATTAAGAGGTAGGGTCTTTTCCAGATGAGTAGCTATGAGAATTTCTCCCTTACAAAGGAGGCTGCATGGACACTTTGGGCTAGCTGCAGAGCTTGCCAGCTGCACTCCACCTTCCTTGGACGCAGAGAGACTCTCACCAAACCAACTCCTGGCAGCCTAATCTTGAACTTCCCAGACTACAGAACGTGAGAAAAAAAATTCTATTCTTTCCAAATTAGCCCCAAATTTACTAAAATAATATTCTATAATTCTTACAAGTAAGCAACCAAATGTAGTTATTTAGAAGATGGATTATTTGATTCAAATTCAAGATTTTCTTCTCTTTTCACTCTCAAAAATAATGACATCACATCTCTGAAAACAGGAAAATCAAACTTCAGAGCTATGCATTTTTAAAATGAGCACTGAAGTACCATACTACACACACAAACCTCACACCACATAAAAAATAATTAATTTCAAAACTCTACAAACTAATACATATAACAAGATCTTAAAAAGCAGGATGAAAATATATACTTGTACAACTGCCTAAGAAGTCTGAGTCAAAAGACAAGCAAGATTATGTTGGTACATAATCAACAATCTAAGTATTTTTCCATTCCAAATTTGGTATTCTTTTGACAAAAAAGAAAGCTGCCTCCATAGTTCATGTAACTTAGCCTGCCATCACTAATTAGACAATCAAAACTTTGCTAAAATATAAACAAACATTAAATCAAGATCTTTCATATGTAATTCTAAGAAATCAGAAAATTCTTTAAGAAAGCATTTCCACATAACTTAAGGTCAATTCAAGGTTATATTCAACCCCACAATGATCAACTTTACAGTTTTCACAGTGAGTTTCTTTTTCAGTAGCAAAGGGTAGCTTTTCAAAAGTATAGAAAATACATACGAGGGTTTTGTATCTTTACAGAAGAATCAGGATCTGGATGCTGCTTATGTATCACTTGAGTACAAATCTGTTCTATAAGAATCTACAGAAGTAAAACAATAGATTGCATTAGCATAGTCACTGAATTAGCATCACTATTAATGAACTCTACACTGCACAATATTAATCAAAATTTGTTATTTAGTTCAGTCCAACAACATCATGCTAAATATTTTATGCATATTATCTAACTTAGCATTGTATTTTTACTTAATGATAAAATGAAACATCAAATGAACAACACAATGGCAGAATTACTCTTCAGTAATTTACAGATTAATGGACTTACAAAAATGCACCCAGATCTCCTTTGTATTAATAACTTCAAAACAGTATATTACAAATCAAAATGGTTTTACTTTTTGTTCATAATCCTAAGTTATACAGACACTTTTGTAATAAGAAATTAGTAAGAATAAATTCTAACTACATTCCTACCTCAAACAGGACATTATATGTGGTCATTGTGATTAAATTTGTCTGAAGCATGAGTCGTTCAGCTAGCAGTGAAAATAATCCATGCCCAAGCATGATTTCAGCTTTTCTCCTGCAATTACACAGAAAGAAATCATGAAATACAGAATTTTACTGTGTATTATTTACTATGCATGCTGGATGAGGGAAACATAATAATATTTGCATATTATAAATTCCAACACAATTACTCTCCCAATTTTCTTTGACCTAGAACTTTTATTTTAAAAGATTTGTTTGTTTATTTGAAAGGCAGAAATATAGAAAGAGGGACAGATAAAGAGATAGATTCCATCTGCTGGTTCACTCCCTAAATGGCCACAATGGCCAGAGCTGTGCCAATTCAAAGCCAGGAGCCAGGATTCTCTTATGGGTCTCCCACGTGGGTGCAGGGGCCCAAGCACTTCAACCATCTTCTGCTGCTTTGCCAGATGCATTAGCAGAGAGCTGGATTGGAAGTGATGCAGCTAGGACTTGAACCAACATCCATATGGGATGCCGGCACTGCAGGCAGAGGATTAACCTTCTATGCCACAGCACCAGCCCCAACCTAGAATTTTCAAACCCCTAAATATTTAAATAGAGAATGCAAACTACAATATATACATAGCGAAAACTAAATACACACACACACACACATATATAAATGTATCAGTATCATAAGACTGGCTATGCCACAGCACAGCAAAAATCTCCACAAATATCTCCAGAGCAATTATGAACTTAATTACTTGCGAAGATCTCTGATCTGCCAACACTGAGCCAAATTTTGCTGAGGACAATCACCTAAACCACAGAAAGAACGTAAGTAGAAAAGCAATGTGGGGGGCCGGGTGCTCTGGTATAGCAGATAAAGCTGCTACCTGCAGTGCCAGCATCCCATATGGGCCCCAGTTCCTGTCCTGTCTGGGCTGCTCCTCTCCTGCTCCAACCAATGGAAGATCTCTCCCTCTCTCTACTCTGCCTCTATGTAAACTCTTTCAAAAAAATAAATAAATCTTAAAAAAAAAAAAAAAAAAAAAGGAGAGAAGAGGAAGAGAAAGAGAAAGGAAGAAAGAAAAGAAAAGAAAAGAAAAGCAATGTTGAGGAAAAGGTAGAAGAAACATAATGGAATTTTAGAAAATGAAAACATATTGCTAAAATGCATCTCTCAGATTGAAAGCCAAAGGATCACTAATATTAATTCTGTCTCTGGAGTTTGCATACGTTTTGTGCAAATGGCTGAGGAGCAAATATTTCAGGTTTTGTGGACCATACAGTCTCTGTCACAACTCAACAATGCCCTTATATTGTGAAAACAGCAAGACATAATAAAGAAATAAATTATAGTAGTGCTCCAATAACTACCACTTGATTCAAAGGTATTCAACTGGATTCATAAAGTCTGCAGTTGTTCCAGTTCCAAAAATTTAAAATTTTATAACAAATTATTCCTGGTATGAAGAATGATATCTAGAGTATGACTGCCGGCTTTCAGCTGAGAAAAGAAGTTTGACAGTTTTGGCTTTTTGTTATGCATGTAGCAGAACACACTATATGGCAAACATCCAGGTTATTCTATCAGCTTTTTAGTACAAATAAAGCAAATGATGATGTGAATCACTGAAAAAAGTCTCTGTAGTATACAGAATTCAATTTATCCAAAGTAATTCTCATCATTAACATAAGATAAATGAGACATTTACATAATTTTCATATAAAACAAATACGTTTCTGTTGAACTGTATTTTTAAAATATGTAGTGATGGGATTAAGTTTATCCAGCAATTTATAATATAACAATAAAAGAAAGAGAAACTAGGGAACCATAGAACATAAATGGTATTCTAAAACATTGTAAAATAAATAAGTAGCACGCTTCAGTCCGTTTTGGATTTCATGCATACTCACTTTGGGGCCAGATGCTTTAAAAAATAGCCCATTGCCTTGAGAGCTTGTACTCTGATTCCTTCACTTTTAGATGCCAGCAGTTTGTAGATAACACTGAATGAATAAAAATTTGAAACAAATAATTGAGTTTAACTTTTAAAAGTAATGATTTGCAGATACATATTTTATGTTATTATAAGCCTATTTCAAGTAATATATATTAATACTCATTTCTGGCATTTAAAATTTTACTTATTCCAGGCTAGTTACACTTCCTTTTAATGAAAATCAAAACATGATAACTGAAATTCAGAAAATATAGTGACTTTTCCATGTACATAAATATGAAGGTACTTTTAAAATTTCATGGGAAATGGAATTAAAATGTAAGTTTATTCTGGTGAGAAGTCATTGAAATCCACACATAGTTCTTCCATAATACACATTTTCCATGAAACTTTTTAATTCATTTTTGCAAATTACAATGCAGAAGGCTGACTTTGAGGCACATTTTTTTCTCCACTATATACCTATCAATGTTCTTTTGAAATTATCAACTATTTTTAAATCCAATATAAACAAAGCATCGTTTAATGGCAGAACATATTTAAATCTCCAGATAATTTTCACTATGAAAAACCAAGGGGACCCACATAATGAAAAATAATCAGAAATAAATTAAAAAGCAAAAAAGTTAAAACCAAATGACTACTGAAAATACATTTCACATTCAGTTCTCAAAACTTACATAGTAACCAATTTTTTTTAAATCTCTGAGGGCATTTTGATTATAAGCAAAATCGACTGAGAGTGAAATCCAACTGATTCATTCTAGCATTCGCTTCCTCACAAACATACTACACAGAAACAAATCCTGGAACTGTTTGATTACTTTTAAAAATTAAGATTGTCAGTATGCTCTTAGATAAATATTTCAATGTTTAATAACTAAGTGTGGAAAAAAAAATTCTGAACAAAAAGGAAAGATCTTCAACCTCTAGTGATAAGTAGAAAAGTAAATATGTAAAAGGAAGTTTGATTCTTTTAAAATATGAAGCAAAGGCACCCCAGTCTATACGACATTGTAATTTCATAAAACAGGACAGCAGATGTCAGTCATTTTTTAATTAAAATCTTACTATAAAAACTTCAATAGTCAATCATTAGGACAACATTGATATGTTTCTAAGTTTCTTTTCTTATTTTAAGCAAAATAAAAATTGTTTGTAAAAGCAACATCTAAGTTTAATACCAACTTAACAACCATACACACTAAGGTATTTTAATATATCAAAAAACAGTTTTTGCTATAGCTTAAAGCAGGGGTGGGGAACTATTATTCTGCCAAGGGCCATTTGGATAGATATAACATCATTCGCAGGTCATACAAAATTATCAACTTAAAAATTAGTCTGCTATAAATTTACTGAATCTCGAGTCATTCACTAGCAGTTGCCTTGCGCAGGGCCCAACCAAATGATTTCACGGACTGGATGTTCCTCACTACTGGCTTAAAGTAAGAAATGCCTTTGGTTAAAAACACAATGATTTCATCACAACACAAACTTTAAATACTTTATTTTTATTTTTTTATTTTTTTATTTTTTTATTTTTTTTTTTTTTTTTTTGACAGGCAGAGTGGACAGTGAGAGAGAGAGACAGAGAGAAAGGTCTTCCTTTGCCGTTGGTTCACCCTCCAATGGCCGCCGCGGCCGGCGCGCTGCGGCCGGCGCACCGCGCTGATCCGATGGCAGGAGCCAGGAGCCAGGTGCTTTTCCTGGTCTCCCATGGGGTGCAGGGCCCAAGCACCTGGGCCATCCTCCACTGCACTCCCTGGCCACAGCAGAGGGCTGGCCTGGAAGAGGGGCAACCGGGACAGAATCCGGCGCCCCGACCGGGACTAGAACCCGGTGTGCCGGCGCCGCTAGGCGGAGGATTAGCCTAGTGAGCCGCGGCGCCGGCCACTTTAAATACTTTAAATAACTTGGGATTCATAACATGGAAAGAACACAAAAACTGGAATTGGACTTAAAAACCAAGTATTCATCCCACAAATTTTTCAAATGTTGAACATTTCAGACAAATGAAGAATCAAATTAGTTTATTTTACCTGCTAAACATAAACAGAAAATTTCAAATTAAGTGGACCTATTTACTTTTTGATCAAATGAAATAATAATTCACAAATTAGAGAGAAAAAATTATGCTATAATGAAAATTATGTATTTATCTAACATAATTGTTCTAAGTTTTAAAAGCTTACAAATACCTATACAGCTCTGTATTTGGAAATAGAAAGTACAAGTAAGCTAATAAATTTGAAAATATTTTCATGTAATTTGTTTCACTCTCTTCCTATATTTAAAGAAATGCATATGGTATTTCACATATATTTTTATAACCAGAAATATAACAAAACATTTTCAATGAAGAAAATAAGTTTCTGGTAACAGACACATCCAAAAGAGAAATTTAAATAGTAACATTATTTCCTTCTTCATAGATATTAAAAATATTATAAAAGATCATTAAACTAGGCTCTAAATTTTTTTAACTGACAATAATTTAGGTAAAACATGTGAAGAAATTGTCATTGAGTCAGCAAACATAGCCATATCTTTTTAAGATTTATTTATTTATTTGGAGGGGAGAGAAAGAGAGGGAGGGAGGGAGGGAGGGAGGGATGGAGGGAGATCTTCCATCCCCTGTTCACTACCCAAATAGCTATAATTGCTGGAGCTGGGCCAATCCAAAGCCAGGAACCAGGAGCTTCTAAGGAAGGGTTTTGTTTCAAGATGGTGAACTAACCTCAATAATAGAGAAAATTTTCAAATTGTTTTATGCAGACTGTGGAAGACAGCAGTGATGGCTCAAGTAATTGGGATCCTGCCACTCGTATTAGAGACACGGATTGAGTTCTTAGATTCTAGCTTTGGACCTGGCCCAGCCCCAGCCATTCCAGGCATTTGGGAAGTGGACCACCAAAGCAGTTAGTCCTCTTTCTCTCCCCCCACCCCCCCACCCCCATGCCTTGCCCCGCACCTCTGTCTCTGCCTCTCAAATAAATACTTCCCAATTTTCCAATTTTTGGATCCAAGGAATTTTTCCATAGAATTCCAATTAATTTAAAGGAACAATCCATCAATTCCAAATTATTTTTAATCATCTATGTAGTTAATATATTTAATAAATCTCTTTACCTAGTGTGTAAAAGTAACTGAACTGTATTTAAATAACACTAAGTCTTCACATTTATCTTATTAGTCCAAACTGGAATTTTTTTTTATTTCTTCAAGTAATACAAGACTGGAGAGATAACAAAAATTATAGTATATTAAAAAATCAAAACAGAGGGAATGTTGCCATTTACTGCTAACATGGAGGTCAGCATTTTACCTTCACCAAAAAATGACAGGACTAAAAAAAAACTTTCACATTTCAGAGCAATGGAAACAGACAAAAGAAAGACAACAGATATGTATTTGTCTTAAGAAATTACTAGAAAATCGAGAGTCAGCAGCCTTGCTGATGGAACTACTCCTATTATTACCACCTCCAGTGCAGTAAGTGAAGTCTTAAACCAGCTTTGGGCTGGCAGCAAAAAGTAGCAGTGTTGCTTTCAGAGAGGGCAAGCCTGATTTAGGGCAAGGAATGAAAACCATAATTTTCCAGCTAATAGTGGCAGGCCTGGTTAGGCATCAATAGGGAAAAGGAACAGTTTTACTAGACCAACTCTGAAATCACAATCCAGGACAAGTGAAACCAATAAATACTTAAAAGGAGATGTTAAAAAATGAGAAAGGCAGGGGCCGGCACTGTGGCAAAGGGGGTAAAGCCGCCGCTTGCAGTGCCAGCATCCCTTATGAGCACCGGTAGCTCTCTGCTATGGCCTGGGAAAGCAGTAGAAGATGGCTCAAGTCCTTGGGCCCCTGCAACCACATGGGAGGACCAGAAGAAGCTCCTGGCTCCTGGCTTCGGATCGGCACAGCTCCGCCCATTGTGGCCAATTGGGGAGTGAACCAGTGGATGGAAAGCTCTCGCTCGCTCGCTCTCTCTCTCTCTCTCTCTGCCTCTCCTTCTGTGTGTTAACTCTGACTTTCAAATAAATATATCAATCTTAAAAAAAAAAAGAGAGAGAGAGAGGGAGGCATTAAAATTCAGCCAAGCTCTCCATATACCTCTAGATGACTGGGAAAGTACATATGTACAAGGAAGATCTGAGGATAAAGCTGAAAAAAAAAAAAGGAAATGGAGACTAGAGAAATACTTATGACTTGGAAAGCAATCCCTAAACACACATCTATGAATCACTATAGGATGTATATCTAATAGTCCAAAGGAATTCCATCACAACCTCTGCATAAATCTTTGATTGACCTCTAAGATATATAGAAACACAGGAAACTTAAAAAGAATTGTGTCAAAAAAAGGAAAAAGAAAAAACACTCAACATAAAGAAATAGGAAGCAACAGACTACAGAGAAGACAGAATCTGCAGATGAAACAAGGCTAGATACTAAAAACCAAAACAGAAACTAACAACCACGGAAAAACAAGGGAGCCCAGGGTTGCTATTATACTTATCTAAAAGGTCCACTTTTCAACCAAAATTACTGTACATACAAGGAAACAAACAAAAAATATATATAACCTATAATCAGGAAAAGAGCCATAATCAAAATTTCTCTTAAGTTTCCCAAATGTTAGACTTAGCAAAGACACCAAAGGACACGTAACAATCACAATGTTCAAATAATTAAAAGAAAATAGACTAACAATAAATTGAAAATTAGAGAATCTCAGTAAGACAAACTATAAAAAAGAACCAAATGGAAATTCTAGAGAGGAAAAGTATAATCAGGAAAAAAAAGAATTCACTGAGAGGTGATCAACAACAGAGATGGCAAAATAATCAATCTGTAACCTTGAAGAGAGACTGATAGAACTTATCAAATATAAAGAATAAGGAGAAAAAAAAGTAGAAAACATTAAACAACCTTTACAACATTGTGAAACAATGCAGGGTGCTCCTCTATGGATATAATTGAAATGCCCCAACCACCAAAAGAAAAAAGAAAAAGAGGAATGGGATATGAGAAAAATCTGAAGAAATC